GACTTGGCCATGCTGAATGTTAAGAATAACTTTTTTCATTTGACAAGCAAGGTATATTCTTCTCTTGTTTGTATTTGATTGACTTAAAAGTTCTTTTTGGAAACAAATTATCAGGCTTCAAACCTTCTAAGTGGCTTCCCTTTACACTTGGAACTAGAGTGAAATGCCTTCCTGGTGCTCCTCTGGCACACCCTGCCTGCCTCTTCAGCTGTAATTCTACTGCACTGCTGTTCCACTGGCCATCTTTGTCTTCTTTACAGTCTTTGTACCACTTGCTGGTCTTCCTAGACTTGTAGTAGTTGGCTTTATTTTTATCATGTTTCCACATTTCTTGGGATGCCCCCTGAGTAAGCCAATGAAGACCTGTCCAGTCACTTCTAGTCTTACAACCCTGTTCTGTGTTCTTCCTACCACTTTTGTATTTACAAGTATATTATAGAAGGTATGATAGAAAAAATGGTTAATGATTAAAATTTAAAAATGTATTAAATTAAAGCCAGGCATGGTGTTGCATGCCTGTAATCTCAACACTTGGAAGGCTGAGGCAGAAGTTCAAGGCCAGCCTGGGTTATTTAGGAATGAGAAGGAATGAGACCACCCAAGCAGGCTAGTCAAGGCAAAGAGGTACAGACTTTATTCACCTAGGGAGAGGTGGACTGATGGCAAGCAAAGGGCCACCAGCCCCGATCAAAGAAAAGGAAGAAAGCTTTATAGGGCATTGGAAAAGAGGTCTGGCATATCTGTCACATACAGGGGTCAGAGCAAATAGTTATCAAAGCAGGGGTATGGATATTTTCAGATGATCTGGCATTGAAAAGATGCTGTACTTTGTAGTTGTTATCTCTGTGTTGGGAACATCCCATACTGTGTTCTGTGTCTGAGATAGCACAGCTTTTTCAGGAGACAGCACCTGCATTGGCTGCCTTTTTTGTTGTGGTGTTTTGTATCTTGTTAAACTGTAGCTTGGAATTAAAGACAATATTTGTTAACCATTTCATGATCAGGTCAAGCCTGACAACATTGCCATTAACCCCCTTCAAAGTACTCCTTCTCTACGCCGGGCATGGTGGTGCATGCCTGTAATCCCAGCACTTGGGAGGCTGAGGCAGAAGGATTGCTGTGACTCCGAGACCAGCCTAGGCTACATAGTGAGTTCCAGGTCAATCTCAACTACATAGTGAGACCCTTGTCTCAAAAAAAACAAAAACAAAAACCCAAAACCCAAAACCCAAAACCCAAAGTACTCCTCACTTTGAACACACTTATCTCATCATTCTTGCCACTTACTGAAGCAATACTAGAATCCTCTTTTGTGAAAATATTTTTAGTTGTCCAGTCATGGCTTCCTTGGTTATCCTGAATATATTCAAAATATTTATCTTTCCTCGTCATTTTAACTTTGGGGAAGAGCCAGAAGTCACATGGTGCGAGATCTGGTGAATAAGGTGGGTAAGGACACAAAATCATATTTCTGCTTGACAGGAATTGCTGTAAACAGTAGATCAATGGGGCATGATAAGAAAAAAATTTACAGTGAATGTTTAAATTGAAAATTTTGTTACAGTAAGTGGTACATTGTCATTAATCTTCCTCCTTAGAATAGCCAATGTATCCCCCTTCTCTTCAAACACACTTATTTTTGTTCATGTGTATTTTACTGTAATATTTTTAAAATTTAAATACCATTGTTTTTTATTACCCCTGTATGTCAGGGACTGTGTGTACCTTGTTCACTGTTACGTTTTTAACACTCACTTAGGATGTGCTTAGCACAAAGTGTCTATTGCAAGAGTGCTCCAGGGATTCAAATGTGGTTGAGCATAGTTTTGTAAATATATATAAATATATATATTTCTTCTTTGTTAATTGTCTTTGCTCATTTGAAAGGTGTGCTTTTATTACATTTTTGTAAGAACTGTTGATAATTATTGATCAGTTTTCTGTCTTATGCTGTGCGTATTTCCCCCAGTGTCTCATTTGCTAAATTTGTTTATGGTGCAGAGTACAGACATCTGAAGTAACTGGCCTGATGTCTAGCTGTGGTTAGTATTCATTAAATTTCAGCCATTGTCATCAGTTTTACCATTCTCTGTGGCTTCTTGGTCAAAAAACCCTTCAGGTGTTTTTTTTGTTTGTTTGTTTTTTGAAACAGGATCTTGCTGTGTAGTCCAGGCTGGTCTTGAAATCACTATCTAGCCCAGGCTGGCCTCGAACTCACAGTTAGTGATCTTTTTGCCTTAGCCTCCTGAATGCTGGGACTATGGGTGTGCATAACCACATCTGGCTCTCAGGTGTTCCTTTTTAGTCTAGTTTTTGATCTAAATGATAGCCTGTTCTCTAAATCATTGATTATTTGAACTTGTTTTTTTTGCTTTGTGTGTAAGAATTTTGGCTATTCTTTAGCCCATTATATATATATATATGTTTTTCTCCTTGAAGTATTTGTGGAGTTTTAAGATATCTTTCTTTACTAATTTAAAAAGCATTGTGATCAAGTATCATTATTTTGTATGATTTTAGTTATTTTAGATTTGTTGAGGTTGGTACTGTGGCCTAGCATAAGGTTTTTGGATGAATTATTGTTGTACACTTGAAGAGTTCTTGTTGGGTAGTGCTAGTTATATTAAGTTATATTAAGTTGCATGACAATGTGGTTACATCTTTATATCCTTTCTGATTTTTTTCTGTTACTGCGAGAAGAGTTTGATCTTCAAGTACCACTGTGAATGTCTGTTTTCTTCCATTTGTATCAGTTTGCTGTGTATGCTTTGAAGCTGAGGTGCTAAGTGCTAGCTAGGTGCATGTACATGTAAGATTGCTAGATCTTATTGGTGAATCCTTTTATCATTGTGCAATATCCTTTGATGAGTGTTTGCATCATATATTCTTTTACTTTTAATATTTTGGCCTTATATGCTATTATATTTAAGTACTCCCTTTAAGTAGTGGTTTCTTTACTACAGGGATATTTGGCAATGTCTAGAGACAATTTTCATTATCTCAGCAAGGGGACAGAGCTGGTTACATTTAGTGCATAAAGTCTGGGAATGCTGTTGAACATTCTGTGTGCACAAGGTAGCCTTCTACAACAAAGATTTGTGTGGCCCAAAATGTTAATAGTGTTCTGTTGAGAAATGTCCCTCTAAGAATTGCAGTATACATAGCTAACTTTTCACTGTATACTTAACCATTATCATTTATCACTTCACGTATAGAACTGCCTACTCTTCCTTATGTTACAGTTGTTATTTGTATTCACATCTATTTACATTGAAAACAGTCATACAGCGTTATAATTTTTCCTTTGAATAATAATTTTTACTTTGAATAGGTATTTTTAAAGAACTTGTTGTTGCTGTTACATTATCCTTAATGTCCCACATTTCCTTCTGGTATCATTTTTTTCATTCTGAAACTTTCTTTAGCATTCTTTTAGGACAGATCTGCTGACAACAAATTCTCTTATAGTTCTCCTTCATCTGAAAATGTTTTACTGGCTATAGCATCCTGTTTTGATACTTAATTTCCTTCAGCACTTTAAACAAGTGGTTCCACTGTCCTAGAGCCTTCATTTTTCTTCAGGAGAAACCCACAAGTGCTTGCAAGGATGTCTTTTAATGTGTAATTGGCTGTGCTGGTTTGGAATATTTATTTTTCCTAATTCTGTCTCTTATTTATTTATTTATTTATTTGGTACTGGTTATTGAACTTGGGCCCTTGCGCTTGTGAGAGAGGTGGTGGCACCACTGAGCTAAATCCTTGTCCCTTATTAGTTATGTTTTATTTGTGGATTCTGGTTGATTCTATTTGTCTTCTATATGGATTTTTGAGGATATGAGGGGAGAGTTCAATTTAAGTGATTGCCGTTGTCCTACAGCAACCCAGAAGTCTTGCTTTAATTTTCATATCAAGATGATACCTCCTACAAAAGCTTAATGTAAAATTAAGACAGCAGCTGGGTATGGTGGCACAGGGTGTGGTCTATAATTTCAATATCCTGGGAGGCTGAGGTAGCAGGATCACAACTTTATGCCTAGCTGAACAATTTAGTGACTTAGTGAGACCATGCCTCAAAAAAAAAGGGCTGGGGATGCAGCTCGGTGTAAAGGCATATATTCAATCTCTAGGACCAGAACAACAACAACAACAACAAAAAGGCAATAGTTGTTGAGTCACCATTATAGTTTCTGACAAATTGATTGTTCTCAGTAGGTAAGTTTTTATTTATTAAAGGTTTGATTGAGGAAAGATAAGGTGAGTGTGGATGGTGGGCTACTATCTATCTTGAGATCAGAAAATTACTGTTGGTTTAAAAATGTATGCTGGCCATTGAGGTTTTCTTTCTTTCTTTCTTTCTTTCTTTCTTTTTTCATTAAATAGAGTGTTTCAGTAAAGACATAGCCAAGACATAGTATCATAAATGGGACATAGTATCATTCCTTATATATCTCAGTGTATCGACTCTGATTATAAACCCAAGGGTGGTAATTAGACCTTTGGGTGTACAGACAACTATGTTTTGTTAAAAGTTGTTTCTAGAACTTTGGTGACTATATAGTTTTGTAACAAATTATTTAGGTATTATTTGGAGATAAAAATTTTTGGCTAATGGTAAAGATGCTTATTTTTCCTATTACTGGATTAAATGTATTGAGTGAAAGTTGGGCAGCCCTGGTAGTGCTGTTGCCTGACTGTACACTGCAGAGTCTGTTCTAAGATTATGTGTACAGCATGAATATTGTAGATTTCTTTAACTAATGCAGGCTTTTTTACACAGCCTTTTTCTTATGTATTTACCTTGACTAATTTATTTTTTTGCAAAGGAAAGTAATGTTACTATGTATTGTTATTTATAATGGTTTACTTCAGGTGAAGGCAGCTTAATGTAAGGAAAATATTGAGTAATTAGTAAAATTATGCCAAATATTGCCCTAAATAAAACATATAGTGTAACAGAAGACTGTAGTCTGGCTCAGCTGCCTGTTCTTACCTCTAACTAGGTACCAGCTGGAGGATGAGTCTGCCCATTTGGATGAAATGCCACTGATGATGTCTGAAGAAGGTTTTGAGAATGATGAAAGTGATTACCACACATTACCACGAGCTAGGATAACACGAAGGAAAAGAGGACTGGAGTGGTTTGTCTGTGGTGGATGGAAGTATTTCTGTACCAGGTGTGTTGTCCATTGTTATCTGATTTTCTTCTGCATGAAGGTTATTTATAAATGTAGCTCCTAATATATTTATTGGATATATTGATGGATGTAGATATAAAAACTAAAGACACTGTGGCATCATGGAGTACTAAAATAACCTTAGTCAAAAATCAAACAATGCTAATCTAAAAGGAAGAGAAAGCCACATTTATTATGAGAAGTTTCAATGGTTAAAAGTTGGAGGAATTGATTTTATAATTAATGTATGGTACAATAAAGTTTGGTTACTATATCAACATATATAAATAGTATTCCTTTCTTATCATATTCATATAGATATGAACCTATAACATGCAGTTCAGTAATACTATAATTATGTGAATTATTCAGCTTTAATGCTTTGACTTCGAATAAAAACGTGTATTTAAAACAAGTTTCCTGGTGCTGAGATAAACTGGTTTGATTTGCCTTTGACTAGAAGGTGGTAGGTGAAAGCACATTGTGCATCTCAGACATTGCCGTGTACTCCCCTAGGAATAGATTACAGCTGAGTAATAATGCTTTGTGACTTAAGAAGAGCCTGTCAGATGAATTACAGTGCTTATAGTCTTTCTGTTGTTCAAGGTTTGTAGTCAATACCTTTGTTGCTGGTATGAATTTATACCCCTATATCTATAAAGAGAAAGTAAATACTTGTAGAAAAACATATTGTTCATCATCTCTTACATTATCCCTTGGAAATTTGCAAAAGATGTTGCTATAACTGATTTGATTTCTGGGACAGTTCATGAGGTGGTATTCTCAGTGTTTTCTGGGGAGATGCAGGAAGTGGGATTCAGAAATTGGCAACATAAAGGTGATGATGGTTCATCATGTCTTATTCAGCTTTCAGAGTATAGCTATCTATCACCTCTTGTATATTGTAAGATTTCATATGAAGAAAGAATTTCATGCCTGCCTAATCAGTGTTTTAAAAATTGCTAATTGATGATACTAATAATAATTGCCTATGGTTTATTGAAAACATTTTGTAGGTTAAAAAGCCAGTATTCCAGTATACCTGGACTGTTCTTTGTGGATACACATTTCATTACAGAGTTCATTCCTTGAACAGATTTAGGACTGCAGACTTTTTTGTCTTCTGTTATGATATTTTGTGATTTTTCAAGAGATCTGTTTTCAAATTTATATTGGCATAAAGTTGTTCGTAGTATTTTCCTATGGTATTGTTTGATATACAAGATCTACATAATGTCACCTTTTAAAATTTCTGATACCAGTATTTTCATATTTTTTTTCAGCTTTAATTGAGTTTATTGGTACATTTTAGGGATACAGTACAGTTACATTCATTGTTGGGATCTTGTACCTCTACATGACAAGTCTTGGTTCTCATTTTTTCCCCTTACCCCTGCCCTCCCTTCACCCCCCCTCCCCTTCCCATCTACAAACACTTTATTTCCATCTTTTCATTATCTCACATTTTTTTCTTTTCCCTTATTACACTTCCCACCCATCCCACCTTCCCTACACCTTTAGCTCCTTTCTTCCCATTTCTAAATGTCGGTAATCTTATTAGGATCTTATGTATTATTGCAGATTTACTCCTAAGTGAAATAAATAAGTCACACATGTGTAAATACCGAATAGTTTCTCTGATGTGAATAATCTGCAATAATACATAAGATCCAGTACTTTCATATTTAAAAAAAATTGCTATTATCAGTTTTATTTTTGAAGAGTTAACCTTTGTTCTTGTCCTCTTTTATGTGCTTTCTTAAACTTTAAAATATGTATCGAAATAAATTCAAGTTTACAGAAAAGTTACAGAGTGTAGAAAATTCTTGTGTGCCTTTGTCTCTGATTTCCCAAGTTTTAAATATTCTACCACATTCATTTTTCATTCTTTTTATGTCTTTTTTTCTGAGTTATTTCAGACGAGGTTATTTCTTTTCTCTTTACATCTTAATTCTTTAGTATTCTTAAAGATACTTTCTTAATGTAATCACAGTCCAGTTGTCAAATTCATGAAATTTAAAAATGATATAATACTTCGAATATATTTCAGATCTCTTTTCAATGCCATTTTCCTTACGATGTCTTTTGTAGCATAGTTCTTCTAGTCCCGCAGGTGGTTATATGTTTCATGTAAGTAGGATGCCTGTTTAGTTTCCTTTAATTGGGAGTAATTATTTAGTGATTGTCATTTATCTCTTGACGTTTTCAAAGAATACAAATCAGTTATTTTATAGAATCCCTTGTGTTTTGGTTTGTCTGACGTGTTCTCATCATTAGGTTCAGGTTAAATATTGTCTGTGGAACACTGTGTAAGCAATGCTCTGTCCTTCTTAGGGTGTTCACTTTCTCTTTTACTGATTTCTGGTCTTCTATTTTTTTTCCCAGTACCTTCTATGAGTTTAATTTGCTGTCCATTTTCGGGTTTCCCAAGGTGACTGCTCAAATCACCATTATTCCACCTATTCCTTTTTTGTTTGTTTGTTTTTTTGTTTTTTTGTTACCGGGGATTGAACTCCGGGCCTTGCGCTTGCAAGGCAGGCCACTGAACCGCTGAGCTAAATCCCTGGCCCTTACCTTTTCCTTTCTAAAAGTAGATGTGTTTAAATTTTGAAGACTATTTTCATTATCACTCAGTTCAAATATATTCTAATTTCCATTGTCATTTTTTACTTTACTAGATGTGCTGCCATCCAGGGTTTGTTACTTCATTTGTAGAGCACAGGCAAAGAAGATACAGCAAAATTCTTAAGACTCTAGGAGTTTTGGAAGGGCAGATGAGCACTGGCTTCAGCTTAAGGTCATCTGTCACATTAGCCCCTGTGAAGAGAGTTGGCTGACCCTTTGAAACTTTGAAGCCAGCTGTTAGCTTTTCCTCGCCTACTGGGACAGTCTTAGGTGGCAGTGTTGCATCCAGTGGAGGTCTGGGGTGGGTGGGAGGAGCTAGGAATCCCCCCTAGTGACCCACTACCTCTCTTTGAGTCTTTGTCCTCACTCCAGCAAAGTATAAAGAAGTGGGAGGGACTCAGTGGAAAATGGCAGAATCAAGACTGGTATAGTGCATGTGGCAAATGCAGAAGAAGCAGAAGAGCCATCTTAACAGCAGAATAAGACAGAGGGCATCCTTTTCAGGATCTGCCAGTGAGTATGAGATGTGTTCATTCTTATAGGGACAAACTGTTTTGCTGATTGGTGTGGGCTAGGCCAGTCAAGGTCTTAGCCTTTGTTTTCTAAGAAGGGGACAACATCAGCATACAGTAAATGTAACACTTTCAAACAGGATATTATAGGGTACATGTTTTTCAAGCTCAGTACATGATAAGCATGTGATGATCACAATTGTCAGCCATTGCATTCGTTAACCACAGGTAAGCATGTGATGATTTTACAATTTTAGTCATTTGTGTTTTGCCGTGGTTTTTCAGTATCCCTCTAATTTTCCCCTATAGCAGCATCTTCTTTCAGTCTAAGGCTGTTTAGCCCACATTTCATATCTGCTGTTTGGTGTGGTTGCTTTTGTCATTTACCTCAGCTGGACCTCTGTAACTTACCTACAGCTTCTGTGGCTTCATTTTGTGGTGGTGATTGTGTGTTATGGAGACAGTTTTCCTTAACGCCTCATGATCCAGCTTCTGCTAGGTTCGAATTCTTCCATTGCAGTTTCCTTAGTTCTTTCAGCCTTCATATTGAAGAGAGTTGGATCTGGTCTGGATTAAGCTTCACTTAAAAGAGTATTATGACTGGTTTAATTTTCTGTTTCAGACCACTGAATCTTTCTCCATGTCAGCAATAAGATTGTTTCACTTTTTTATCATTTGTGTATTTACTGGAACAGCACTCTTACTTTTCTTCAAGACTTTTTCCTTTGTGTTCAAAACTTGGTACCCAGAAACCTCTAATTTTTAAAAAAAGATGTTCCTTATTTAAACCAATTTATAGTTTTCTTTTAGAAATCCATCATATCTGGAAACACAACAACATAAAGCACTGGCAGGAGGATCGGTCTAATACAAACAGTTTTCTTAGTTCTGGAAATGTAAGTTTGAGAGTCTTATTATTTTTGGTGATGTTTGAAGCCTTATGAAGGATGGTGATCCTGAGAATAAATATGTGATACAGATCTATGAAGAATGAAGGAAGGACAGGTAAAAAGCTGGAGGGGAGGAAGAGTGAAATAGTGATGGAGAAGATGACTTTTATCTTGTTCTTAACTGGGAATATGTATCATTTGATCCAGATGATTAGGCTACAGATGTGTACTGAAGAAATTAGAAAATTTAGTCATACTTTGGTAGAGATTATCAATAATCAGTAGTCATGAATTTGTATTGAATTTGGCATAATTTTATTGCTAATTGTCCATTATGGCTGTTTTAGCCTGAGCCCTTACAGCCCTGGTTGTGAAAGGGCTTGTTTTGGACCCCCACATCATTGTGAATTAATATAGATGTTAGCAGAAAAAATAGTCCAGTTTGGGGAACATTGAAACATTTCAGTAAAATACGCTAGATGTGTCCATAAAGTCTTTGTCTTAATAAATCCTGATCCTGTGGGAAAAGCTATCTGAACCATCTTGGCCAGTTCTATTCAATCTATATGGCACTAGAGTATCCTGTTGCCATGTGCGATGGGAGGTAACCTGAGATATTGTCACATTCTTGTTCTCTTAAGTGTCTGCTACAGTGAGAAATTATTATGGAAATTAGAAACTTGTGTTGTAGAGAGCTAGTTGTACATTTAGGAACTAGCTTATTTTATTTCTTTATTAGAAATTTTTTGTTTTGAGTGTTTGCCACCTTAATTCCAAAATGCTGTTATAAAATTCAGTGTTATTAAAATTATTAGATGATGGTTCATAGAGAAAGTATAAAAAATTAGTTTAACTGCAGGAAGTTAATCTTAGTGAATATTGAAGCTCAAATGAAATTGTAACTAATATTAATGAGTTGTAAATATGACAACATTTCTATTTGTAGATTTTGTGAGTCATGAGACTGAAATTATTATCATGAGTTTAAGGACTGAGCTGTCTTTGATTTCTTTGTGGCTTAAGATCTGCTTTCTCCTTTTTTATTATTTGGCAAAAATTCCAACTTGAACATTTAAAAAAACTTTTCTGAAATTTATCTTAAAACTTTTGAATTTCAAACAGTGAATATACCTTCCTGTAAGTATGTAATTGTGAGGCACATTGATACACATAGCACTCTGATCTGGGTTGATGGTCTTTCTCACGAGATTTGTATTTCACTTGTTATCAAAAAATCACTTTGTCCCTTGGAAAATGGAGCCTGGAATGGCATTTCCATATGCAGGCAAGGGGATAGGGGAGATATTAAATGCTGGGATTATTCCTCCTTCTGCATGACCTCTGCACTTTCTATTAATCTTTAAAACATTTGGGATGCAGAGCATGGGAAAATGTTCATTTTTTTAAGAAGACATGAGTAATGCATTGTTTTTGTCATGGGGTACCTTTTAGATGTAATACTTTTCTATAATTTGGGGTTGGGTAGAGGAAGGAGGCTAAATTTTAGGGGTTATTTAATTATGGCTAAAATTTTAGAAGACAGTATTTTGATATAAAAACATACTTAATATTAGAGTATTATTTTGACTGGAGGCATTTGTGAAAAGCTACTAATTGTAAAACATTTTAAGAAAAAGTGTAATTTGTGCATTAATGGATTTACTTACTATTGATCATGACAGTATAAGACTGTATAAATATATTTTTTCTGAATAATAATTTAGAATCTATTTAGCATGTATAGAAATGGTATTAACGAAAGCTCTCAGTTTCTTTTTTTTTTTCTTTTTGGTACCAGGGATTGAACTCCAGTCCTTGTGCTTGCAAGGCAAGTGGTGGAAGCATTGAGCTAAATCCCTGGCCCTCTCATTGTCTTTCTTTCAAGGACTTCTTTTTGGTTCTCCCACTTGTTTTTAAGTATTTTCTAATATGTTTTTCTCACATTACTTTGCACTAAAAACTCCCTATAATTTCATTTTGCTTAGTTCAATAAGACTTAAATATTCTTTCTTTTGTTACAGTATTATCTTAAATCTTTGAGGTTTACACCCTCTACTCTTACCATTGAAATCTGTCTTCTTCTTCTTCTGATAGTATTTTCCATCTACCTAATCTAGTGGCAGTTCCAGGGTATTTCAAACCTCAAGCTTATGATGGATGTACTGTATTCATTCCGTTTTGTGATGTATCATGTGACTTCATAGTGGCTCCCTAACCACTTTGATTTTGTCTGAACATAATGAAATAATTGGTGATGATACTTTATTCTTTAAAAGGTATTAGTAACAAAGTGGTATGAATAGCTTAATTATGTTGTAGAAGTCTAGGAATCTTAGATTTATCTATATAGGGCTATAAAGAATAAAATGTGGACCATATGTTTTTAGTGACTGGTACTTGGTATTTGTGGGGTGAGACTGAGGTTAACAAGGGAGGCACTAGACCCTGTAAATGATGACAGAGGTGTTAATACTGTTTCTTTCTTTTTTTTTTTTTTTTTTTTTTTTTTTTTTTTTTTGGCTTTTTGAGATAGGGTCTTGCTATGTAGTTGAGGCTGGCCTTAAATCACTGTGTAGCTCAGATTGGCCTCAAATTCATGGCAGTCCTGCCTCAGCCTCCTGAGTGCTGGGATTACAGGACAGGATGTATGGTTTCTGTTCTAATTGGTGTTTATAGCACTCAGGTTATGCAGACATTGTGTTTTTGCATAAGTAGTGTCTGTAGATGAATATGTTGATTTCACATTTCATAAGTTTTATGTTTTTTAAATGCTCAGCTTTGTATATCCTCTGTTGACTCGTGTATATTTAAATGTCAAATTAGATAATTATGTGTTGCAGAACAAAAATTTATATCTGAGTTCATTCCAGAAGAATTTTTGCTGTATTGAATTGCTGAAGAGAAGTATGTCCATGTGTAGCACACATTCCACCTGCTCTTAGTGTGTTTTGTGTATAATGGTGTTGAGTAGCTTTCATTATTATGATGGGAATAGTTTAGATCTGTGATGTCCAGTGGTTGCTGTTGAACCCTTGAAATGTGGCTGGTATGACTGAGGAAGTGTGTTTTTAATTTTAATTAACTAAAATTAAAATGCCCATATGTGGACAGTGGATGCTATAGAGGATAATGCAGGACTGCATTCTTTTTGTGTTCAAGGTTTGTGAGTTTTGGGATGGGATGTTGGGAGTCTAGGGCAATAGTGATAGAGCAAAAATATAACTTAACCTGCTAGATGTCAGATGTGCTGAGTTCATGTCCCCTGAAATTGAAGGATGAATTCCAAAGGACAAAGAAAGTTAAGGAAAAATTTATTGGGGAATAGGAATACCTTCTGAGAGACAAGAGGGGTCCCAGAAGTGGGTTGCCACTGGGACCCTTTCCAGGAGCATTTTATACAGCAAAGTCATGCATGCGGTCAAATTGCAATCAACCAGCTGGGCATGGTGGCGCATTCCTGTAATCTCAGCACTCGGGAGGCTGAGGTAGGAGGATCGCCGTAAGTTCGAGACCAGCCTGGGCTACATAGTGAGTTCCGGATCAGTCTCAACTACATAGTGAGACCCTGTCTCATACCCACCCCCCAAAATTGTAATCATCCAGTACGATTACAAGTACAGTTGTTTAGCTAACATTGACCCAGTAATGAAGCAGAGCATATTGCAAGGGGATGTGGATGACATTATTAATTTTGGTTTATTTATAACTTGTAAAACTAGAAAGTTTTGGGGAAGAGATGGACTCAGGTGTTCCGGTCACCCATGTAGGTCTCTGATGTATATATCTGGATTTAATGGACTAATTGGTTAAGTCTGGCCATTGTGACTTTAATGTCAAGGGCTTGCTTTCTTCAGATGTACCTCCAGCCACAGTTCTGATGTCTCCACTCCATCTTTCACCACCTTGAGAGCCCAATCCCTGTCTGTGTATTAATTTTTTATCTCATTTAGCTGCCTATAATAATAGAATTCACAAGAAGAGGAAGCAGATAGTTAAAGAAGTTCCCCAGGTTCACTTGCTGGTAAAAGTCTCCAAAATGACTTTAAAGTCCCTGTTCTTTTTCCATGCGTTTTCTTGCTATTTTATAATTGCCTTCTTCTTTTTTTTTTTTTCAGCTTTAATTGAGTTTATTGGTACATTTTAGGGATACAGTACAGTTACATTCATTGTTGGGATCTTGTACCTCTACATGACAAGTCTTGAGTCTCATTTTTTCCCTTTACCTCTGCCCTCCCTTCATCCCCTCCTCCCCTCCCCATCTACAAACACTTTATTTTCATCTTTTCATTATCTCACATTTTTTTCTTTTCCCTTTTTACTCTTCCCCCACCCATCCCACCTTCCCTACACCTTTAGCTCCTTTCTTCCCATTTCTAAATGTCAGTAATCTTATTAGAATCTTATGCATTGTTGCAGATTATTAACACCAGGGAAACTATTCGGTATTTACACATGTGTGACTTACTTATTTCACTTAGGAGTATATCTTCAATATGTATCCATTTTCCTATGAATGAATCTATTTTCTCGTTCTTTATGGCTGAGTAATATTCCATTTTATAGAAAAACCACATCTTCTTTATCCAGTTTCCAACGGATGGGCAAATGGGCTGTTTCCAAGATTTAGCTATTACAAAC